CCATCATAGAAATGACAACTTTAAGTTGTCTCATTTACTTTATTACATATTATTCAGTATAATCCATTTGATATTTGAGGTAAAGTTTTGTGACTTGAGATTTTTAAATCTATATAAAAATAGATACAAAACAAGAGCATAATATATATCATTGTAAGACTCATGAAAACAGAGAAGAAAAAAACAATAGGAATGTGAGTACACAGGTATAAATATCAACATTCATTTCCATTTAAAATTGGCCAAAAACATTACTGTAATTTTCTGTTAAATTAAACATGAAATATATATTAAATCAAGTAAAAGACTCATGGAGCCAATAAAAATAATCCTACTGCCAATTTAAGATTTATTAGTTCTCACATCATGGTCTTGCTTGATACTCGACCTCAGGAAGGAAACAAAGAAGATATAGGTACTATAACAAAATGTGGTGAAGAAATTAGATGGTGCCCTGCTACCAGATAAAATCATGTCTGGGGTCTTAAAGGCTGGTCTCCAAACAAGCAGCCATCTAAGTGAGATGTCAACTAAGTCAACCTGGAAGAAGCCCACCAACATCAGTCACTGAAGAATGGTAAATCATATAATCATAAAGGAGGAATTAGTATCAGAGACTAAATTGTGAAATCTGGTTTGCACAAGGCTGCAGATGAGAGTGGGAGCCCAAGGTACATTTGTCGGAATAACATTGATTGGAAATAAGCTTCCGGAAAACTCTCTCCACCCATAATTGAGGGATGGATGGAAGGAAAGTGCTTGTTAAGCAGAGTGCATTGGAAAGATGAGTAGAGAAGATCAAAGGGATCAACCTGACTGGAACAGCGAAAACATTGTCAGCAAATCCCGCCCCCACCCCCCACTCTGATGCATGCTGGACCTGATCTGGTTTTCAACATTTTCTGTATTTTTCGTTTGGTTTTTGTTTGTTTACATTAGGGTTTATCTCAGAGATATTATGTCATTGGGGTCACCCTCTTGAAGTTGTGTTATTTTTTTTCCTGTTTTTCAGTATATGAAACCTATAGGATTGATGGATCTATAGTGATAGCATGTAGAATAAGGGTATGGGGTAGGGAGGTGGGGGTTACATCAGTTGGGGCAGGGAGGGTAAAAGGGAGTCAAGGAGCCCAGGAAGGAAAAGAATGTTTAGAAACTGATTGTGGCAGCAATTGTAGAATACTGCTTGGCATGATTAAACTACAGAATGATATAGGTACTATCAATTTGTAATATTTTTAAAAAATAAGTAGAACTTATTTCTTAAGACCCAATATGGTAGACACTGGTTAATCTTTATAATTGATACAATGATTATATTCCCCTCCCCTTCCTCTTTCCTCAATGTAAAGTGAAAGATAAATTGGAAACGCAGCTGCATAGAAGCATGTCTACGAAATCCAACACAATGCAGTTCCAAGAGGCAGCTTTCTGATTTTCTTCTTCTAAGTACAGAAAGCAAAACAAAAAGAATAACTAGAGAAAAATGGGTTGTTTGGTTCTTAACAGCCCTTCAAAACATTATTACTTAAAATTGGACTTGTGATTAAAAAGAAAATAGTTTAAAATTGGATTTGCTATTAACAATCTAGAGAGTAGATACTCTGTATTGTTAATAGTGGAATAGCCATGTATTTGACAGTCGTTTGGGCTGAAAGTATTCATTACTAGTTTTCCCACCAGTTAACATGAATTGACATTCCTTTGTAGGATAATCAGTGTAGTTATATCTGTGAGCTCTACAGTGAACCAGAGGCTCTCAGTGACAGGAAAATTGTACTCGAGGGTAACAGATTGAGCAATTTCCAAATAAACCACACAGACAAAAAAAAGGTTTTATGCATTTCATTGTTGTTGTTTTGCATGTTTTAGCTTTTTAATTGTGAATTGGGTGAAGGTTTGTGTGTTAGACTGGGTTGACTAGAGAAACAAATCCAGTGTCACTCACACATGTGTAAGAAAGAGATTTATATCAAGAAGTAGTTGTATATCAGGAAAACATCCCAGCCCAGTCCAACATGAATCCATTTGTCTGACACTAGTCCTTAAGCCCCTCTTCAAACTCACAAAGTCACATGCAATGATACAGAATGCAGGAATATCACTGGCTGGTGGGTAAAAAGTCCCATGGACCCAATGGCAGTGGATGCATCTCCAAGGCTCTGGCAGCAACCAGGGTCTACCAGCAGGAAGGTGAAGGCAGAGAGAGAGGGGGGTGGTGGGGAGGTTCCTAGGCCCCTTCTAATGAGTAGGCCATGCCCACAAGGAGGTATCATCAGACTGTGACCTGGTTGACAGGTTGAATACCACCCCTACACTTTTTTATGTCTTCAAGTTGACATGAAATTATGCAACTACCACAGTTTGTAAAATAAATCTTTTTAAATTCAATAATTTACACATACTTTGTTTCATGCCACTAATCCCTACAAGGTAACATCACTCATTCTACTTCCTCACTGCGTATCCATTTCTATTCTTTATACTTCCTAAATTGTCCTGCTTTTTGGGTCCATTCAGTAAATGCTGTTCTTTCCATCTGGAATGGTTGATTACTCTAAGGAGTGTATCCTCCCTAGTGTCATTGTTCACCTTATAGACCTGTGTATTGTTGGGCTGAAAATTGAGCCATGGTGGTGAGCTTATTTACACACCTGAAAGGTGACATAGGGCCATAGTCTGGGTGGACAGGCTTTCCACCAATTTCTATGAAACTAGTAAGTCTTTTTTTTACTTTGAGGGGGATTTAAAAACCATCTTATTAACATATACTCCGTGTAAAATACTATTCAATCATTTAAATATATTAAAAGGAGTTTGTGATCATCACCACAATCAATTTTAGATAATTTTCTTCATTCTGGTACCTATTGTGATTAGCTCCCTATTTCCTCCAAACCTCCCTGTCATAACCTTAAGGATTTATTACTGTCCCTGCAGATTTCATATCCTGGATTGCATCTAATGAAAATCATACCCCCCAAAATGAAGTTTGGTGGAATTTTGAATAGCATAGCATAGTATGTATAAAGCATTCCTTGAAAATCATATTTGTTTTCTAAGAAGCAAAAGTAGTTAATTTTGTAAATATTTTTCTCCTAATGTGAATAAAAAGTGTCATTCACACAGAACTTAAATAATTATAATAATGGTTTTTAACTTTAAGTGTAAGTATTTAGTTTTAGTGAGTTCAGCATTGTAGTTCATATCGCCAAATGCTGAAATTGAAAATTTAACAATAAGATAATGAAATAATTTTTATGCAAACTATGATTATTTTAAAAGTAAATTATTAATGCACTACTAATAAGGAAGCTAAGACAAGAGCCTTAAGCCCAGGCTAACCAGTTAAACGTTTCTAAAAGCCCTAAGTCCCAAGTAAAATCATTACCCTTCCCACAAGTCAATTTTTCTCATTGAGCTGCTTAGTCATAAGAGTGCAAATGCTGGGTCTGTAGAGTTAAGTATCACTATCTAGCTCCAACTGCTTCAAGCTTGGATCCGAATCATCACGTAACATGTCTCTTCTGAATGTGTGAGGTGGTTAAGTACCCTATGTACATATATTTATATGTCGAAGTATTAAAGTAGCAGATGTACTTTGGGCCACTACTTAAGTCTTTCCCTCAACACAAGAACACTTTGTTCTAATAAGCTAGCACTGTGTGATACTCATCTTCCTGACATGATCGCTGAAGACAAAATGGGTGCATAAGCAAATGTAGTGAACAAAACTGATGGTTTCTGGCTATTACAAGAAATAGTATTTGGAGCCTTAAAGGCTTGAAGTTAAACAAGCAGCCATCTAGTCGGGAGGCAACAAAACCCACATGGAAGAAGCACACCAGCCTGTATGATCGACAGGATCATGTATCAGGTATCAGACCCAAAACAAAGAATCATATCTATGTGAATGAGAGGGCAACTGAGTGAAGACCCAAAGCCCATCTGCAGACAATTGAACATCCCCACACAGAAGGGTCACCTGGAAGGGATGAGCCAGCAGGGTACTGTATAGCACCCATGAAACACACAACTTTCCTCTAGTCCTTTAATGATTCCTCCCCCTACGTTCCCACTACCATGACCCCAGTTCTACCTTACAAATCTGGTTAGACCAGAGCATGTACACTGGTGCAGATAAGCGCTCTCGACACACAGAATCCAGGACAGATACACCCCTCAAGAACAGTAATAGGAGAAGCGATACGATGACAGTAGGGTGAAGGTGGGAGGAGAAGGGGGAAAAAGGGGGAACCAATAGCAATGATTGACGTATGACGACACCACCACCACCACCCCCGAGGGGAGGAACAACAGAAACATAGCTGAAGAGAGATAGCCAACAGCGTAAGATATGAAAATAATTAATAATAATATATAATTTATTAAGGGCTCACGAGGGTGGGAAGATGGGAGAGGGAGGGAGGGAAAACAAAGTAGCTGATACCAAGTGCTCAAGTAGAAAGAAAATGTTTTGAAAATGATGATAGCAACACATGTACAGATATGCTTGATACAATTGATGTATGGATTGTTATAAAAGCTGTAAGCGCAACCAGTCAAATGATCTCTAAAAAAAGGTTTTTTTTATTGCTTTCACAGCCCATCCTAGCAATAGTATTTTTTTCCCTAGCAAATGAAAAGTAAATGTTATTTTTTAGACTCTGATTACTTTCCATACTTTTTCATCATCTTTTGAAAGAGAGAGATGAACCAGGCTTTGATATCGAACCAGTTATGTTCCCTAAATGTTAAACTTATTTAAGTGTTTTACCCTTAAAGACATTTGGCGAACTGATTTTATGCCACCATCTGTTTTAGAGCTCCATCTTATTATCTTTGAGCAAAAATAATTCAGTGTTAAATTATAAAAATTATCTTCTAAGCTCTGAGTCCCTAACGCTAACTGGAGATGGACATTCCTTTTCAGTAGAGATAAATGGCAATATGCCTCTTGATGAGAGGAATACCAATTTTCTACCAGTGTTTGGATTTACCTGCGCTATCTTCAGTGCCGTTTGGATTCGCGTATCTTTCTCATGACGCTTTATTAACTGGAGTGTTTGCCAAATTACGTTTCTAAGACCGTCCTGCTCCTCATCTGCCCGAAGTTCCCAGGACATTTTCACCAGATTACATACTATCCCATAGTATCCAGTCCAGATCACTTGGTGACCTATTTAAAAAGAAACATTCATTGAGAAGATATACTTTTATTTGCCTTGCCAAGGAATGTTTGTATAAAAGAAGAAGAAAACATTTCTGATCAAATTTCATCGTAATATTCTAAGATCTTGAAATTCTCAGCCTTAGAAATTTCTGACCTTTTACAGCTTTTACACTTTTAATTTTAAAAGATTATTGATCATCTTAATACTTCTAACCATAAGAAAATCGAATTACACTTGAAAATATAATACATAATAAATTTAAAAGTTAGGCATATAAACTGTAGACTACACACTATATAAACTCTTGAAATTCAAGTATAGAAAAATTCTTGACACAATATGAACGCTTAGAATTATAATTAGAAATTAGAAAAATAGAGGAAAAATAACTTGCTGTGGTAAAATGTATCAAAGACTATGAAAAATGTGTTTTGAACAACAGAACCTACAATAGTGTTAACAAAGAAAACATACTGCTATAATTATAGATTAGATTATTATTTTTAAACAAAAGCAATTTATATCCATTAGAAATAAGAAGTCATTAATTCCGAGGAGGTAAAATAATCTAAGAGAATTTCTCTCCTAAACCCAACCCCAAACCCACTGCCATGAAGTCAGTTCTGACTTACAGCAATGCCATGTAGGGTTTGTGAGGCTGTGTATCTATAACTTCACTATTTTCTCTTGGAGAAGCTGGTGGGTCTGGAATGCTGACCCTGCAGTCAGCAGCCTAAGGGGTAGCCATTACACCACGAGGGCTCCTTCTAAAACTCATGTATAATTTACAATATTTTCAACATATAAATATAAATATATAATATATTGATAAGTGTTTAGTTAAAATGTATATAAAACTTATTCATCAAATACATGTGAATATTTTAAATATGTTGACAATATACTTCATAGATCTCATATGAATATATAATCTGTAAATTCATAATGAATAAATTCAAAATACATCATTCTAAATTAAAAAGAAATCATTTATAAGTTTATAATCCCAGTATGAATTCATAATTCATATACCCAGTATGAATGTATAAATATTTATAAACATATTGCATATAAAGTATAACTAGACATATATAAACATATTGTGTATTCATATTTATAATATATTTATAATAGTTATATAACATAAATTATATAGCTTTAAAAATATTTTTCCTTACAGAAATAAAAACACTTTTCTTTAATTTTTAAATCATTTTATTAGGGGCTCATACAACTCTTATCACAATCCATACATACATCAATAGTGTAAAACGCATTTGTACATTCATTGCCCTCATCATTCTCAAAACATTTCCTCTCCACTTAAGCCCCCAGCATTAGGTCCTCATTTTACCCCTCCCTCCCCGCTCCCCCCTCCCTCGTGAGCCCTTGATAATTTATAATTATTATTTTGTCATATCTTGCCCTGTCCGACGTCTCCCTTCACCCACTTTTCTGTTGTCCGTACCCAGGGAGGAGGTCACATATAGTTCCTTGTAATTGGTTCCCTCTTTCCAACCCACTCTCCCTCTACCCCATTGCTGCAGCATTTTACATTCCCACTAGCAATGCACAAACGTTCTAGTATCTCCACATTCTCATCAACACTTGTTTTTTTTCCATTTTCCAGTTAATAATCATATTAATTGGGGTGAATTAACATGCAAATATTTATTTTTTAATTGGAGAGTTCCTCCAGATCACACTATTATGCAGATAGATTTTGTCTTATCATCTATTATAATTTCAGGTTAATTTTTAACATAATTTCCATGTTTTCCATCATTCACTCTTTTGTGTTTTCTTTGTTGTCTCTCCCACCTCCAAACATTGAAAAAATGTATACTTCTAAAACTTAAAATGTATACTTAAAACTTATTTATTGGGGGCTCATACAACTCTTATCACAATCCATACCTATATCCATTGTGTCAAGCACATTTGAAAATTTGTTGTCATCATCATTTTCACAACATTTTCTATCTACTTGAGGCCTTAATATCAGCTCTTCATTTTCCCCCTCCCTCCTTCATGAACCCTGGATAAATTATTATTATTATTATTATTATTTCATGTCTTACACTGATTGATGCCTCCCTTCACCCATTTTTCTTTTGTCAATCCCCCTGGGAGGGGATTATATGTAGACCATTGTCATCGGTAAAATTAAAAAGTAAAGAAAAATGTTCATTTTACTTATTGCTTACTTATGTATCACATTTTTATTATACATTGATATTCAGGTAAAGATCATTCTGATTTAGGAAGATATTGGAAAAATAGTTTTGGAGAATAAAATAATATTGAGTGCAAAAGGGAGATGGAATTAGGTTAACCAAAGAGAAACATGAGAGTACTGAGTAAGTGAGGAGAAACAACTAAGAGAAGCAAGAGGAAGAGAAAGTTCAGAAACTGAGATAAAAAGCCTTTAAAGTCAGCGAAATCCCGCAGTGCATTTCTCTCTAAACCCTGGAAATAGTCAGTGTGCCATTGGATATAGCCAACACCCCTCTTGAATAAAGGTATCAACATAGAGTGGTAGGTCACAATTTCAACTTTTATAGTCCACTCCTTTCATTTTTTAAGAAATAATCAAGAATAACAATTACAACTATTAAATAGAGAACATCTTGGAATATTCTATTCCCTAATTCTAGTCCTCAGCCCAACTCTGCTAAGTAGATATTATTCGACTTCAAATAATAGATGGGAACATTAACACGTGAGCTTCAACTTGATTAGCAATTCCCCACCATCATATAGTTAGAGTCATAGCTCCAGGTAATGTTTGATCTAATCTTGTCCAGGCAGGAGAGTCTCTCCAATTGCATGCTTTTCTTTCAATCTCTACTTCCCATTCTATTATTGGAAAGGAACTGGCTGGAGTGAAATAAAGAGGAGATAGAAGAGAAATTGTATAAAAATTTTAGGAATGGTAGGAACACAATACAAAAGGATAAGGAAAAAAACAGTATTGCTACAGAAATTTAAAAAACATTTATTAAACCATAATATTAAATCTTGAAGTGGTTGTTTCTCCAACTATGTCTATAAACCTCTGAAGCGGGAGCTTACATGAGAGTATTGTGCAAGACCCAAAACTTGTTCATTGCAAGTGCCTTTTTCCAATAACCCAATTGGCAACTATGCACATGGCAACTATGCACTTTACCAGATGGAGTACACAGAATTCAAACTGACTACATCTGTGGGAAGAGCTAATCTCAATATCAGCAGGCAAAACAGGGCCAGGGCCTTGGTATAAAATCAATCACCTATTGGTCATATCGAGGTTCAAATAGAAGTTGAAGGAAATTAAAACAAATCCATTGCATTAGTTCACTTTTCAATGCACTCTGTCTCATAGCAAGACTATTCACATTCCTGGGCAGTGGCCAGAAGGTATTCACTGAGAACTTCACCCATGTGGGGACTCTGCAAATGAATTTGAGGCTTTAACTATCATTCACAGACTTCTGCAAACTCGGTGGTCAGAATTTAAGCACTAATCCCATTCCGTCCTTGGATTTTCTTATTTATAAGCCTCAGTTAACACTGGATGGTGTAATTCTTCCTGGTAGACTTAGCTGAACCTGACTAAGATGGCTGCTTGTTTTAAGAAAAGTCTTTAGACCCCAGGTGCTATTCTTTCTGATACCCGGAGCAGCTGATATCTTCACCCCTTTGCTGTAGCACTCATATGTTCGGTTATTTCTTCATGAGGGCAATATGAATTAGGGCAATGTCAGAAACACTAATTGTTCTTAGGCTATGGCTACAATTAAGTGCAAGCTCAAAATACATTCATACATTTACGTTTTGTATATGTGGCTGGTCTACTTTAGAAACATTATCATTTTATCAGGAAACATTATAAATCATCCTCTTGAAGCCTAGATAACTCTATTGATAGCATCATTAATTTAGCCAATGGTATATAATTTAAAATACTGTTGAGGAAAAAAAGCATACATGCATAGGGCAGCTTTTTAGACAAGAATGCATGGATCATTGAGTTGCAGAGATTAAAACTTAAGTGACTGGATGCTCTTTACATCGTAAACAATAAGGATTAGGGATAGAGCAAAAGTTCCAATAACACTCATTCACAAGGTAGAACTATACCTGCTGGACTAAGACATGCATTTTCATGACATACATATGTGACATGCCACAGATATATTTAAGGTAAATTCCAGTATGATTATTGGGTATTTCAAATCCATTTTTTGGTCATGGCCCAGGAGTGATGTGGTGCACTTTGAAAAGCGAGATTCTGAAGTACCAGTTGTCTGCTGCACACAACCTGAATCACGACAGGCTGGGTAGAAGCTGGGTCAAAAATGCCCAATTAGGACCATCATACTTAGTATATTCCCCCCCTTGCGGAATATATATAAGTAATATTATCATTCTTCTCCAAGTCAACTTACCACACCTGATTTCCCCACCGACAGAAGTGAAATCACCTTCTCCAAGACAGACATCCTGTCCCCACCTCTGGACTGGAACTACTCTAGTCACTCTTATAGGAGCGTCTATGGATTTAGGTTGACCGTTAAAACTTACTTTTGATTATAAAGTAGTTAAAGCATCTAGAACAATGATGAAATTAAGGAACTGAACAGAAATTTTCAAAGGCAGCCCAAGAAGACAGAAAATTATAGTAATTAAATAGACAAAGATCCGGTGCCAAAGCACACACAAGGTAGTTGGCTTTGTGAAGGACCCCAGGCTGGCCTCTCCTCCACAGTCAGGTCCAGGCTGGGCTCTCAAGTACAGAGATCAGACTTCCAGCAGGAAACAGGTTACGGGAAAAGCACCGGAGGTGGCTGCAGGGCACATCTCAGTCTCTGCCTGGCACCAGCAGCAGTACCAGAGACTTGTCTGGGGACATTGGGAATGGCAGAAGGCAGCAGGTCCCAAGCGTATGGAGGACAGTGGAGTCACCACCATGTGCTGGCCAACCAGTGGAAGCCACTTGTGATGTTCTGTGGTTCTTTTA